TCATAAATATCCATTGTTCTATTAATTATTAACTCAAAATTAATATTTTTAAATAAAATACAAAAAATACTTTTTATCTAATTAGCAAATTTTTTTTATTAAGTTAATATATTTTTTGTGATAAATAAAAATAGAAATATAAATATAATAATTACTTAATATTGTTAAAGATTAAAAAAAATAAAATTGAAACTAATTAAATAAATATTAATTAAAAATTATGACCAAAAATTAAAAAATTAAAATATATAAATTTGTCAATAAAATTAAAAATTCTAATTTACTAATGATTTTATACAAAAAATTATTTTAAATAACTTTTTTAATCCACTAGTAATTTGGATCCTAATTGTTATCCATTAATCTTTAAACTACTAAATAAAAAATTTTATTAAACACTTAGTTTGTAATAATTTCAAAATAAATAAGTTTATTCAGTAACCATTTTTAATAGTTTGAGCAAAATAATTAGTTGTTGCCCCTAAATTGCTACACAAAATGGGTCATTAGACATAAATTAAGCATATAAGGCTAATTTAAGCTTTCACCCAAATTATCTTGAAAATGATAAAGATAAAGATTTGTTTTGGTAATATGATATATAATTAAAATCAAGGAATAAGGTTACAAAACTTGTCCCTTGTAAAAAATAAAAAAATAATTATTAATTTAAAATAAATTTTAAATAAAAAATATCTATTATTTATTTGACAACACTAAATTAAGAAATTAGGTCAACGGAAGTAGCTCGTTGCTAAATTCTTAGACAAAAACTAGCGTTAAGCTCCTACACTTTTTTCATTTTCTCACATAAGCTCTCAAAGAAAAATTGTGACATATATATAAGCTCCTAAATGTTTGGATTTGAGCAAATTAGTCATTGTGTTAACAGTAGAATCATGTGTGATCATGTAACTTAAACAAATTTTTTTTTTTTTTTTTACTTGCGTAACAATTTCTTTACATTTATATGCTAATCACTAGGTTGCTCTAAACCCTAATCCATGCCTTAAGTTGCCAAGTCCTAGGACATATCCAAGCCGCTCAATCTTTGGGTCATGTCCCACATTGTTGTAGTCCTTATGTCTTGTATCGCATTACCCCCACCATTGGTAGTGCCTTGAGCTTGAGCGATCATGGTCCGAAGTTACACCTTGATAACTCTTGGATCTCAAGTAACCTTTGAGTTAACTCTTAACCTCAAGTCATTCTCAAAGCCACCCTGACCTTGAGTCATGGCCCAAGTTGTCATGGACTCATGGGGTTTATGATAGCTCAAGGCAAGACTTGGGGCTCAAAGCAAGACTTGGGGTCCAAGGCTACTTGGGCGATGACTCAAAGTTCAGGATAGTTTTGGGAGTATTTTAGAGTCTAGTAACTTACATTGATGTAAGGTTTAACATGACTTTTGACCTATGATTCGGAATAACTTGTAAATAAATTATGTCTAATTAAGATAATATGAGGTGTGACCCAAGATTTGAGGTGCCTCAAAAAGTGACTAGGATTTGAGATAGGTTGGGGCATGATTTAGGTTTAAGGTTGCTCAAAAGTGAGCTTAGGTTCGTGATAGCTCAAGGCATGATTGAGGTTCATGACATGACCTAAATTTGAGGTCTTTTGAGATTGAATCAAAGTTTAAAATATCTTGAAACATGATCAAAGTTTGAAGAACTCAAGGTTTGATTTAAAATTGATTCACTTTGACACTCTGACTTGTGAAAATATTAAAAAATTTTCAATTCAAATAAAAAAATATATATATTCTTTATAATTTTTTAAAAAATGTTCCAATCATTGGAATGGAAAGCCAAGTCAACATCGAAAATAGCTTGGCTTCTACAAATTCCCTTCTTAGGAAAAGCCTATACTGTCAAATTTTAACTCTTCCTACATTTCCTAAACGGAGGAGAAGACGACAATGGCGTTTGGAACCCATTGTCAGTGGAAAGGAAAGCAAGGTGGAAGTGAGAAATCGACTTGCTCTTGTCTACCACGGATCACATTGTTGAATTTGTTGCTTCCCAACAGAAAAACAAAGATGGTATTAATATGGAGGTATCTCTAATCCCCATTTTCCTCTTTTGAAAATAAGCCAAGCTGTATTCATGTTAGCTCAAATTATTAACTAAATGAATCCAGCTCGAGCTTCACAGAACTTCTTATAATTTGATGCCACAGATAATGGTTACGCAGCAAAGAATAGATCTTCTTATGAACATTCCTGCCCTTAAGAAGCTTCACGCAATGCTTATTGTAAAGTCCTGAGCTTTTTTAAGGTACTGAGCTCTATTAAGCTAGGAAATACACTAAACATTATATGTTATACCTTATAACAATAATCAGGATTGCCTAGATAACTTCAAGGATCAGAACGAGTTCTGTTATGTATCAAGAGATGCTTCAGACTCAGAAAAAGGGAATGCCAAAAGAAAAGGTGATAAATGATGGCTCCAAATTGTTAAAGTTCCCCCAAATGGTCTATCTGCTGATGCAAGAAAATTCGTGCAGTACCAGAAAGATTGTGTGAACCAATGCTAAAGGCAGCCATGGCAATAAACGCTCAAGTTCTTGCTGAAATGGAGATCTCAGAAAACTATATCAAATCCCTCCCCAAGGTAAAGAAATAACAGAGACATGTTGTAATGTTTTGAATGAATTTACGGGCTCCTTACTTAGCTTGCTGTTGATGCTTTGTTAGAATGGAAGATAGTCTTGGGGAGTTTTGCGGGCTCAATCTAAAGAGGATCACGGTTGAATTCTTCGACCCAGACCAGTTTCTATCGACAAGGGACTTGTCTGTGGAACACAAGACTCTAGACCTCAAGAACAGAATTTAGGCATCCATAGTCATATGGAAGAGGAAGATGAATCACAAGGATGGAAAATCTGGTTGGGGATCAGTTATTAGCATGGAGAAGAGAAAACTATTTGAACAGAGAGCAGAGACAATCTTGCTTATAATCAAACAACGATTTCCTGGAGTTCCTCAATCTGCGTTAGATATTAGCAAAATCCAATTCAACGGGGTAAATTCCTACACCTAATACTGATATCATGCTTAATACTATAGAATCCAATGCATGGACTGCAGGGGTGATGAGCCTAAAGGGCTAAATGATCTGCTTTGTCCCTTTTATGAAGAAATGATCCTAAAAAGTTAAGGATTTGTTATTGACTTCACAGGATGTAGGGCAGGCTGTTCTAGAGAGCTATTCAAGAATACTGGAAAGCTTGGCCTATACAGTACTGTCACGAATTGTAGATGTTCTCTATGCTGATTTTGTTGCACAAAATCCATCACAGGCATCATGTACAAGGAATCCTCTAAAAGATGGCACGCCGATTATGGTGCTTCTATCCACTGAGGGAGAGAGTGCGACAGACAATTCAATGACACTCTCGGATTTACCTATTTGGAGTTTGGATCAGGGTGAGAATGAGAAGAAGGAATCAACAGAGGAGGTCACCAAAGAAGATGAAGGAAAGCATTTGCACAAACTCAACATAAGCCACAACAAGAAGTCTTACTACCTCGATAGCTTGAGTGGATCAAGACGCCCGACATTGCGCCATTGATGGAAAACAATGGGAGAGAAGATTGTGAAAGCAATGAGTGAGGGACAACGGAAGAAAATGAAAGAATAAGAAAGTACTAAGAGATAGAAAGTCTGACCTTTCAAATGTAAGTTCTAAGACCCAGATGAGATTCATTCTGAGTTTGGTTTACTTGCTCACATTATTTTGCTTGCTTTTGTGACTAGGGAAGAAACCGAAGAAACATTTCAGATATTCACAACATATGGCTCTGTAGTTTTGAGAACTTTAGTTTGGATAGACTGCTTTTCATCACCAGCAGTTCTGCATTCTATCACTAACTGTAATCAGCCGCATTTTCTTGAAGCTACATTGATCACATAATTAGTTCTAGTGACTGATTTCATAATCCAAAAACAAAGGATAATGGTCAAATACAAGAGAATGGAATTAGAAGCAATGCCAGAATTACACTGGAAAAAAAAAAATTGTCTTTGGATCACAAAGGAGTTTTGAGTAGGCTTTAGACAGAGTTAACATATTTCAAAAGTAGCAGATACATACAGTAAGAATAATTGAGGGTCTGTCTAAATTTAGATCTTGCCGCGTGGTCCAAGTTTTGGTGGAAGTTGTGGGCCCTTCTTGATTGGAAGAAGGTCATCTGAGGCTGTGGCACTTATGTAAAGGAGGGAACCACCTCCCAAGATCAGGAACTTGAGCAATAACCCTCTCTTGGTGAATGGAGCTGCAAATGTCTCAAAGAACTTGCTCTGCAAAATCAAATGTGTGCATATTTAAAGTCAAAGATTCATATTCTGCAACACATCCACAGTACTAAAAGAAAAACAAATAGTTATGAGATGGCAAACTCTAGCATATATAAACAATTGTGTTGGCATAATTTCAAAATAAAAGGTTGTGTCATTGAATCTTCTAAAGCTTTAAACTGTGCCTAGCCACTCTTTGCCTGATTTCTTTCTGTAAGTTGAAAAAAAAGAAAGGGATATTGCCTAACTTCTTTCCATGTTCTTTTAAATAACAATTCTCCTTCTAGTAAAGCATGTCACTCAAATGTTATTGGCACAGCCTGTGACTGTGCTATAGCAAGCTTAGGCAACAAGCCCCCTTTTAAAATGTTGATAAAGATGATCTAGTTGAAAGGATAATGTTCAAAAACAAATTACTTAGTATTAGGCAGATCTTTATTCACTATATAATAAGGTAAAACAACATCATGAGTGATATATATTAGAGAAGATGCATACCTTTGGCCTAACTAATCTCATGGTTACTTGCAAACCACCCCATCCACAAGTATTGGGTAAAGAGCAGAAGTGATATTAGTAATATTTTCTTAGTTTTACTTGTACTGTATTGTCTCAGAATATTTGTAATGATTGGTGAAGGACCTCCTTACAAATGATAGAAGTCTTCAAATACATAGGCCCAATTATCCACAATGAGGGATTTGAACAAGTTAATCACAGGATTATAGATGCTCTGGTATGTCAGAGAGTTTTGGTTCCGAGTTTTAGGAATGAAAGAGAGTCAACCACACAAAAGATTACATGGATTGAAGTATTGGAAGGACTTAGATGTTAGATCTTGACAAGAATATGGTCTTCAATGCACAAGAATATGGTCTTCAATACTTTTTTATACCCGTAGATAATGATAGATCCCACGGTTATTTAGAATTCTCGTCAAATAAAATTATCATCTATTCTATTACTTTGTTAATCAAAATTAAGCTTAACAAGTTCATTAGTTTCCACGTTTCATCAAATAAAATAAACTCAAATAATCATATAAAATAAAAATTTAAAATAAGATAAACAAGCAATAAATATACATAACCAATATATACTTGTCCAGCAAGTTAGCAACAAGTTCATAAAGGAAAAAAAGGTGTAAACTGCCATATAAATCTAACAAATTAAGCAAAATGTCCAAAAAAAAAGAGCATAAACTGCAACTATCATCAGCAAAGTTCATAATGCATAAACTGCTACTATACATATCTATCAATAAGTTCATTAAGAAAAATGATATAAAAGAGATGAATTACCAATGATTGGTTGAGAGATTGGAGAAGAACTATCGAGTCGAGTGTGAGTGAGAGATGAGGGAATATCAGTGTTGCAATGATTGCACAATAAGTAGTAATGGTGAGAGCTTAAAGGAAATCATAGATGAGGATTAAGGAATAGAAAGAGAGTTACAATGCAGAGCCATAGAAGAGGCTAGAGAGGAGGAATCACAAATCTAAAATTGAAAATTTTGGAAGGTTACCAATGTAAATTGGGTTGGGCAATTAGGTTTAGGAAAATTAGATTGACAAAAAGAATAGGTTGGACTTGAAAATTGGGTTTGGAACAACTAAAAAAAGAATAGGTTATGAAATTTAAGTTATACTGATATTAAGTTAGTTAATTAGGTTGGTAAGTAAAAATTAATTGTTAATATGTTTAAAAAAATATATAAATAAACATAAATTTATTTTTTTTTATTTTATATAAATCTTCATGATTCTCAAAAGGGTGAAGAAAATTTCTCACAAAATTTCAAAAAAAAAAAACCTCTATTTTCATCCCACAAAAAAAAAAAAAAAACATTATTGGAATCTTCATACCTATGACAGGGATCCTGTGTGAAGCTCCGCGGATTGTGGGTGAAATTGCCATCACTACCAGCAACCGTGGGGTTTTGACCTTTTGCAGGGATCTTAACATCACACGTGGCGAATTGGGTTTTTCGGGGCTAATCACGTGGTGCCAAGTGGATTGGAGTTGGATAAGGTTATCCGTTTATGATCTTCGATTTCCCACCAAAATTTAATAAAAATGGATTTATTATTATTTTTACTCTCTCAGTAGATTTCTTATAATTTTAGCTAGATTTTTTAATTTTTTAAATATAAATATTAAATAAAAATTTAATATATTATATAAATAATATTAACATTTTTTAATCAAATAAAAATAATTGATAAAAATTTTATATAAGAAATTATTTTTTAATTATTATTTATATAAATTATTAAATTTTTATCTAAAATTTATATTTAAAAAATTAAAATATTAAATTAAGTTTACTAAAAATAAATGAAAGGAGTATTATTTTTTGGGTTGGAGCAATTAATTTCGAGGAGAACTTTTGATTTTGTTCTTATTTTTTCTGATATTGGAATTGCAAATATATATATATATATATTGAATTGAGGAAAGTATACATATTATGGGTTTCTCTCAATTTAATAATTAATTTTGTGCAGTATAATATATTTTAGACTATACAAAATATTTTTATATTTTATTGAAAA